CGTGCACACATCAACCATACAGGACCAAAGAGCCAGAGCTCAACCCCCGCAAGCACAACTAGGTGAATACTCGCACATGTACATGGCCGTACAGGCAGTTCGGTTTACAGAAACGTCGGCTACATGATTATTCTTACAGAAAAGTATAATTACTTCGTAATATTGAAAGCTGAAGTTAAGAGATGTTACTCCATCCGACATTTCACCTTTTTAGGACAACTGAAACAAAGAATTCATCCGGTGACGCATTAACGCTCCAACGAGGTCATTAGTGACGCACAAACACATCAATGAGGTCACTAAGACCCACAAGCACATCTGGCTGGATGATGCGACAGGTGATTACTAGAGTTCAGCCCTAGCAAATGCAAGGTGATGAATCTAGAAAAGTTGCAGGAGAAATTTTACCAAATGACAGGAAGGCACTTCATTGAATCTGGACAAAAAAATGTCCGGTTGTCATTTGAAAATATATACATAGTAACATTGACGTATGTATGCACATGCAAGCCGCACGTTTATACACACATACATACATACATACATACATACATACATACATAAATGCTCTGAAGCAGCCTAAAGTTACAGTAATACGATCTCAGACGATACGAGAATTTTCAGAAATATGTATACTAAGAATATGCTAATTATACACTATGTATGCTAAGTATATACTGAGTATAATTAATGTATGGTATACAAACTGATAAATTGGAAGTCCAGTGTAGAATACCTGTGACAGCAGCGCCCATATATCACATGGAACCTAGAAACTCTGCCGAAAAAAAATACCTAAGACAGTAAAACACCGGACTAGATCTACCAGGAAAGGCACTCGAACTATCAGGAGAAAGTGCCAAGCTTTTACGACTCTTATAGCTCTTGAAAGAGATCAGAGTAAGGATGAGGGATGGGACGGGGTGGAGTTGGAATGATACACGACCACTTGGACCAGTCGGGGATTGAACCCCGACCTGCATGAAGCGAGACCGTCGCTCCACAGACAAGAAGATCTACCAGTGACTAAATAATATGTCGCCACAGGCCCCTTGAGGGTGGTCGAGTGAAAGAAGCTTCTTTGGTCCTTTGGAACTTGGAAAATTTCTTCGGTCCTTGGAAAATTTCTTCGGTCCTTTGGTCCTTGGAAAATTTCTTCGGTCCTTCAGCCCTTGGAAAATTTCTTCGGTCCTTCGGTCCTTGGAAAATTTCTTCGGTCCTTTGGTCCTTGGAAAATTTCTTCGGTTCTTCGGAACTTGGAAAATTTCTTCAGTCCTTGGAAATTTTCTTCGGTCCTTCGGTCCTTGGAAAATTTCTTCGGTCCTTCAGCCCTTGGAAAATTTCTTCGGCCTTTCGGTCCTTGGAAAATTTCTTCGGTCCTTCGGTCCTTGGAAAAATTCTTCGGTCCTTCGGTCCTTGGAATAGAAAATACTTCAATAAATGAAAGGAATGATGGTAACAAAATAGTTTTGAATATATGTAAGAATATATTGCACTGGTGTAGTGTCCATATTAAAAAAGAAAAAGAAAGAGACATGATCAACATTAAAATAAAAAGACCTTAAGGAAAAGGTCAGAAAACCTTGACCTGCCTAAATTTTTAGGTCTTATAGGACATGGAAGCCGAATTGTTATGTTGTCATTCTGGTAATGCTTTCTCCTCCTAATTACCTTACCTGGGAATTAAAGGGCATTTGGGAATTGGAATGGTCTGCGTAGTTGGGTAGTAAACGCGATAACGACTGTTAAGCTAGAAGTTAGCGCGATCAAATTTACAAGAAGAGATCACTACCAGCGGTGATCTGTCATTCTGTAAATAATATTGAGTCATTTCCTTTCATCACACACAACGCATACACACGCACACACCCTCCACACGCACAAACACAAGCACAAGCACAGGCACGAACACAGGAACACACGATCTATCGTGAAGTGTGCGAGGAACTCGATAAAAAATTCCAGGAAGTCTTCACAGTAGAGCGAGGAGACGTTCCAGAGATAAGAGAAGGAATAGTTAACCAGGCACCACTAGAGGAGTTTGAGATTACCAGTGGGGATGTAAGGAAGCTTTTGCTAGAGTTGGATGTGACAAAGGCTATAGGCCCCGATGGAATATCGCCATGGATACTAAAGGAAGGAGTAGAAGCACTGTGTCTGCCACTCTCCATGGTGTATAACAAATCACTGGTAACAGGTGAACTGCCAAAAATTTGGAAGACGGCAAACGTAGTCCCAATATACAAGAAGGGGGGATAGACAGGAGGCAATGAACTATAGGCCACTGTCCTTAACTTAAATACCATGCAAGTTAATGGAGACGATTGTGCGAAAAAAGCCAGTGGAACATCTGGAGCGAAGGAATTTTGTGACACAACACCAACATGGTTTCAGGGATCGCAAATTATGCCTCACAGGATTATTTGAATTCTACGATCAGACAACAAGAATCAAGCAAGAAAGAGAGGGGTGGGCAGACTGCATATTTTTGGATTGATAGAAAGGCTTTGACACACTACTACACCAGAGGCTAGTGCGAAAGCTGGAAATGCAGGCAGGAATGAAAGGGAAGGTTTTCTACTGGACAAGGGAGTATCTAAGTAACAGAAGACAGCGAGTCACTGTGAGGGGTGAGGCCTCAGATTGACAGGCGTCACCAGTGGGATCCCGCAGGGATCAGTCCTTGGACCTATACTGTTTCTGATATATGTAAATGATCTCCCAGAGGGTATAGAATCATTCCTCTCATTGTTTGCTGATGATGCAAAAATTATGAGGAGGATTAAGACGGAGGAAGATAGTATGAGGTTTCAAGATGACCTAGACAAACTGAATGAATGGTCTCACAAATGGCTACTAAAGATCAACCCGAGTAAATGTAAAGTAATGAAACTAGGCAGTGGAAACAGGAGGCCAGACACAGGATATAGAATAGGAGATGAAGTTTTTCATGAAATGGACAGAGAGAAATATGTAGGAGTTTATATCACACCAAACCTGTCTCCTGAAGTCCATATCTGCGGCGCATACAAGGCTGGCTAACATCAGAACTGCCTTCAGGAACCTGTGCAAGGAATCATTCAGAACCTTGAATACTACATATTTAAGACCAATCCTGGAGTATGCGGCCCCAGCATGAAACCCGTACCTTGTCAAGCACAAGACGAAGCTTGAAAAAGTTTTTAGGTATGCTACTAGACTAGTCCCAGAACTAAGAGGCATGAGTTACGAGGACAGGCTGCGTGAAATGTACCTCACGACACTGTAAGACAGAAGAGTAAGGGGAGACATGATCGCTACCTACAAAATTGTCAGAGGAATTGATAGGGTAGATAAATATAAACTGTTTAACACGGGAGGTACGCAAATAAGGGGACACGGCTGGAAATTGAGTACCCAAATGTGTCGCAGGGTCGTTAGAAAGAAATTGTTCAATATCAGAGTAGTAGACAAATAGAATGCATTAGGCAGCGATGTAGTGGAGGCTGACTCCATATACAGTTTTAAATGTAGGTATGATAGAGCCCAATAGGCTCAGAAATCTGTACACCAGTTGATTGATAGTTGAGAGGCGGGACCAAAGAGCCAGAGCTCAACCCCCGCAAGCACAAATAGGTGAGTACACACATACACACATACACACACACACACACACACACACACACACACACACACACACACACACACACACACACACACACACACACACACACACACACACACACACACACACACACACACACCACACACACACACACACACACACACACACACACACACACACACACACACACACACACACACACACACACACACACACACACACACACACACACACACACACACACACACACACACACACACACACACACACACACACACACACACACACACACACACACACACACACACACACACACACACACACACACACACACACACACACACACACACCACGCACCGTAGTTTTAATAATAATAAAACCAGATGAGGCCAGTTGGTATAACCTCCGGAGTGAGGATGTGGCGGTGATCCCGACTCCCCCTAATGTTGGCCGGCTGTCGTGTCTGGCTCACCCTAATGTTGGCCGGCTGTCGTGTCTGGCTCACCCTAATGTTGGCCGGCTGTCGTGTCTGGCTCACCCTAATGTTGGCCGGCTGTCGTGTCTGGCTCACCCTAATGTTGGCCGGCTGTCGTGTCTGGCTCACCCTAATGTTGGCCGGCTGTCGTGTCTGGCTCACCCTAATGTTGGCCGGCTGTCGTGTCTGGCTCACCCTAATGTTGGCCGGCTGTCGTGTCTGGCTCACCCTAATGTTGGCCGGCTGTCGTGTCTGGCTCACCCTAATGTTGGCCGGCTGTCGTGTCTGGCTCACCCTAATGTTGGCCGGCTGTCGTGTCTGGCTCACCCTAATGTTGGCCGGCTGTCGTGTCTGGCTCACCCTAATGTTGGCCGGCTGTCGTGTCTGGCTCACCCTAATGTTGGCCGGCTGTCGTGTCTGGCTCACCCTAATGTTGGCCGGCTGTCGTGTCTGGCTCACCCTAATGTTGGCCGGCTGTCGTGTCTGGCTCACCCTAATGTTGGCCGGCTGTCGTGTCTGGCTCACCCTAATGTTGGCCGGCTGTCGTGTCTGGCTCACCCTAATGTTGGCCGGCTGTCGTGTCTGGCTCCCCCTAATGTTGGCCGGCTGTCGTGTCTGGCTCCCCCTAATGTTGGCCGGCTGTCGTGTCTGGCTCCCCCTAATGTTGGCCGGCTGTCGTGTCTGGCTCCCCCTAATGTTGGCCGGCTGTCGTGTCTGGCTCACCCTAATGTTGGCCGGCTGTCGTGTCTGGCTCACCCTAATGTTGGCCGGCTGTCGTGTCTGGCTCACCCTAATGTTGGCCGGCTGTCGTGTCTGGCTCCCCCTAATGTTGGCCGGCTGTCGTGTCTGGCTCCCCCTAATGTTGGCCGGCTGTCGTGTCTGGCTCCCCCTAATGTTGGCCGGCTGTCGTGTCTGGCTCACCCTAATGTTGGCCGGCTGTCGTGTCTGGCTCACCCTAATGTTGGCCGGCTGTCGTGTCTGGCTCACCCTAATGTTGGCCGGCTGTCGTGTCTGGCTCACCCTAATGTTGGCCGGCTGTCGCTGTGTCTGGCTCACCCTAATGTTGGCCGGCTGTCGTGTCTGGCTCACCCTAATGTTGGCCGGCTGTCGTGTCTGGCTCACCCTAATGTTGGCCGGCTGTCGTGTCTGGCTCGCCCTAATGTTGGCCGGCTGTCGCTGTGTCTGGCTCGCCCTAATGTTGGCCGGCTGTCGCTGTGTCTGGCTCACCCTAATGTTGGCCGGCTGTCGTGTCTGGCTCACCCTAATGTTGGCCGGCTGTCGTGTCTGGCTCACCCTAATGTTGGCCGGCTGTCGCTGTGTCTGGCTCGCCCTAATGTTGGCCGGCTGTCGTGTCTGGCTCACCCTAATGTTGGCCGGCTGTCGTGTCTGGCTCACCCTAATGTTGGCCGGCTGTCGCTGTGTCTGGCTCGCCCTAATGTTGGCCGGCTGTCGTGTCTGGCTCACCCTAATGTTGGCCGGCTGTCGTGTCTGGCTCACCCTAATGTTGGCCGGCTGTCGTGTCTGGCTCACCCTAATGTTGGCCGGCTGTCGTGTCTGGCTCGCCCTAATGTTGGCCGGCTGTCGCTGTGTCTGGCTCACCCTAATGTTGGCCGGCTGTCGTGTCTGGCTCACCCTAATGTTGGCCGGCTGTCGTGTCTGGCTCACCCTAATGTTGGCCGGCTGTCGTGTCTGGCTCGCCCTAATGTTGGCCGGCTGTCGCTGTGTCTGGCTCGCCCTAATGTTGGCCGGCTGTCGCTGTGTCTGGCTCGCCCTAATGTTGGCCGGCTGTCGTTGTGTCCGGCTCACCCTAATGTTGGCCGGCTGTCGTGTCTGGCTCACCCTAATGTTGGCCGGCTGTCGTGTCTGGCTCACCCTAATGTTGGCCGGCTGTCGTGTCTGGCTCGCCCTAATGTTGGCCGGCTGTCGCTGTGTCTGGCTCGCCCTAATGTTGGCCGGCTGTCGCTGTGTCTGGCTCGCCCTAATGTTGGCCGGCTGTCGTTGTGTCCGGCTCGCCCTAATGTTGGCCGGCTGTCGTGTCTGGCTCACCCTAATGTTGGCCGGCTGTCGTGTCTGGCTCACCCTAATGTTGGCCGGCTGTGATATGACCGGCTCGCCCTAATGTTGGCCGGCTGTCGTGTCTGGCTCACCCTAATGTTGGCCGGCTGTGATATGACCGGCTCGCCCTAATGTTGGCCAGTTGTCGCTGTGTCTGGCTCGCCCTAATGTTGGCCGGCTGTCGTTGTGTCCGGCTCGCCCTAATGTTGGCCGGCTGTCGTTGTGTCAGACTCGCCCTAATGTTGGCCGGCTGTCGTTGTGTCCTGCTCGCCCTAATGGCCGTGTCTTCACATTGCCACATTTACAACTTTCTAACAACTGGAGGGAAAGTTATTATTTGTAAATTTTCTTAATATTTATATGAATCGTGGCAAGGCAACTCTTACTCTCTTAATTACACTTCAAAGACAGTTCAGGATGATCTCTTATGGTTTGATGATAGACTTAAAGGCCCTTCAACCACGGGAGGGGTTCATGAGGCCACTCAAATAGCTAACAGGGCAATCAGCAAGTATTCTTTTGGTCCTGAACATGTAAAGTAAGTGTAGACTCTCAGTGTATATCAGAATGTGGTTTACACATCTCTGTATATATATCGTAAGATGTTTACCCATTTAAGCCCTAATTTCGCGTGTTAATCACAGCTAGTGCAGAATTATAATGCCTTGTTTGAATGTATAATTAAATTTCTGTATCCATGCGGTTGAGAGGCAGTTTTAAGAGGCAATAATACATACGTTGCAGATCTCTCCCTCTGCCGTTTTTTATGCAAGATTGTTTCCTTAAGAGGCTGATCTGTGTTAAGGATTTTCCCTAACGTCCTGCCGTGGTTGGTCTTCTTAGTATCTCTTAGTATTCATGGTCACTTTGTCTCCTTAATGGCGAGGCCTCACCCGGGCGCGAGGGTTTTATTCTTATGAGACAATTCTACATTTATATTCGAGGAATTTGTGAGTATTCATGTGTTAAAAGATAATGTGGATATGTTAATATTGAGTATCAGTATACGATATTGTTTTGATTTGGTTATTACATTTGATTTAATATCCCCTTGTAGCGGTTTTATTTATATATGGTGCGGGTAGAGTCATATATAAAAATCAAGGTAATTTATATATTGTAAAACTATATATGTTTTTTGTTTCTTTTTTTATGTAAAGCCTGAACAAGGGTCCGAAATTGGAGTATTAGTTGAGCTTCGGTTCTTGGCCTCCAGAATCTTGCACTGAACTCAGAACGAAGGAAGAATTGAAACAGGAATTTCCTTAAGTACTTTCGTATTTAATAATACATTCTTCAGAAGGGAGGATAATAATAATACAATTTCCCTCTCCCCCTCCCTCTCCCTTCCTCTCCCCCTCCCTCCTTCTCTCTCTCTTCCCTCCCTCTCCTCTTGAGTCTTTCGTACGATCGTATCCACACCCACACATGCCAGCACACAACGTTCACACGCAAGCACACACACACGCACTAACGCACACACACACACACACACACACACACACACACACACACACACACACACACACACACACACACACACACACACACACACACACACACACACATTCGCACATCGGAGTCCCGGAAATATTGGTATGTTCAAATTTGCCGTTTTAAAACCCTTTCTTAGAAAGACGGGAAAAAGTACATTAGTGCATGTTTTATCTGGAAGGGCGCTTGAATTTCAATTGGTGCACCTCCAAAATTCATCTTTTATTTTTTGTTACAAAGATTTCGCATTTCCTACCATTCAAAATTTTTATTTAAACGCGCCTGGGATTTTTATGAGGGTGTGGGATATATCCACTGGACACAGCACACCTGTTTGGATTTTTAGCATTAGTGTGATGCTTTGGGGGGAGAGAGAGAGAGAGAGAGAGAGAGAGAGAGAGAGAGAGAGAGAGAGAGAGAGAGAGAGGGAGAGGGAGGGAGGGAAGGAGAGAGAGAGAGATTGACCAGACCACACACTAGAAGGTGAAGGGACGACGACGTTTCGGGCCGTCCTGGACCATTCTCAAGTCGATTGTGAGAAGGGTCGACTTGAGAATGGTCCAGGAGGGACCGAAACGTCGTCGTCCCTTCACCTTCTAGTATGTGGTCTGGTAACATACTTTAATCACGTTATTGTGACTCATCACCTGCACAGAGAGAGAGAGACTATAAGTATAGTAAATCATGGTTGCTATGCTCCGCGTGTGTTCCTATATTCAGTGCTAGAAGTCAGACATTAACGTGTAATGTGTCTCAGAAGCCACTACCTCCGAGGATATCCTTGCCACTGATGTCAAATGGCCGTCACTCACTTATTAGGTAATCACACGCTGGTTTTGACAATCTGGTTCTTGAGACGAAGGGTGTCAAGGGTGTTTGAACAAGATTGGTGTCTTGCTTGTTTGTGGCTGCCAGGAGCTTAATTATTGGATTGGTTTGTTCCAGTAGGGAAATGATGTGCGTGGTTATTATGGCTAAGGTGTGTGTGTGTGTGTGTGTGTGTGTGTGTGTGTGTGTGTGTGTGTGTGTGTGTGTGTGTGTGTGTGTGTGTGTGTGTGTGTGTGTGTGTGTGTGTGTGTATGGTAGGGGAGGCATGAGTTCGTCTATGGCAGGGTAAAGGTGTATGTGAATACATGGCATTGGAGGGGTGCGTGAGAGTGTATGGCAGGGAAGGGGGAGTGTATGCCAGGAAAGGGGTAGTGTATCTGTGTGAATGGAAAGATGTATGTGCGAGTGTATAGCATGGGTGTATGCGAGAATATGGCAGAGAAGAGGGGGTGTATGATTTTTGTCATACAACGAGGACAGTTTTAGCATGTTTTCACCTTAACTGTATTATATATACAGTTCAAGAGAATCTTTTACTGTATATATCTTTCATAACAGATATGAAAGTTATGAAAATGTTATCACCATTTAATTTCGCTAATATGTTTGTTATTATTGTATTTCCATTCCCGTATGGCAATTGGATTGGTTCGAAGCCCAGTGAATAATTATTAGAGAAAGCACAATGCCAGTGTGTCTATATAGAACTGGGTCGTTGCCCAGTCAATCAGCCCGAAGTGGTGGTCGAACTAAGACAATCTGTGTAAGCTAACGAGGCCAATTCAATTGGCCCGGGAAGGTGTCAACATGATCTCTGTCTTAATTATTTAAAAATTCTGCTTTCAGACAACACTCAGCCCCCTTGTTTAACTCCCTAAACATGCTAAACTTAATCTCACTTCACACATTCTCTTGTGTCAACTATATTTACAAAACCCTGTTCTTAAATGCAAATCCTGCTCTGAAACTCTCCCATGACAGATGTAATAGGACCCATTATCACCACACCAGAAATAAATATCTCTTTGATATCCGCAGAGTCAAACTTAATCTGTGTAAACACTCTATGCAAATAAAGGGACCTAGTCTATGGAACTCACTCGCTATTGAATTGAAAAGTTGTCCAACTTTTGCGTCATTTAAAAACAAAACTCAAAATTACCTAATTTCATCTTCATAGATTTCTACCTTGTTGCTTTAAAATTGCACTGTATCTATTACTACCCAATCTCCCAATCTTCATGTACCCAATCCAAACAACTTTACCATTGTGATCATAGCTGTCTTCATATATGTGCTTTCAATTTGCTGTATGGTGCCTATTAATTTTCGTTTAAATTACCAATCAAGCTGTCAATGCAATCAATCAGAGCTTTAATATACCAATGTACTTTAATATACTTACTAATCTCACTTATCTCATTTTTTTCCTTCTTGCAATGTATCTGTTATCATTTTATTTATTCCGCTAGAATTTACCTACTTAAAATTATCTGTTAGATTAAGGACCTGCCCGAAACACTGCACGTACTGGTGGCTTTACAAGATTGTAAATATCATGCTATGTATTCTCACAAACCCAATGTACCTTCTTGCATATAAGTAAATAAATAAATAAATAAATAAATCACAATGAGGGAAATAACGTTTTAAGTTTAGGGCATTTTAGTGAGTGGACAGGATAGAGAGGACAGGTTGGAGAGGACAGGATGGTCGTTCCCCTCCCTCCCTATTCCATCACTTTTCTCCTCCATCTCCCCTTACTCTCTTGCCCCCTCCGTCTCTTCCCTCTATTTTTTCTTCCCTTCATCTTCTTCCATTTTCTGGGAGGTGAGCAGCTCGTATTCTGGTGGCACTGAGGGCTGCTCCCTCCCTCTTGATCTCTCTCCATCACTCCCTCTTGATCTCTCTCCATCACTCCCTCTTGATCTCTCTCTATCACGCCCTCTTGATCTCTCTCCATCACTCTCTCTTGATCTCCCTCCATCACTCCCTCTTGATCTCTCTCCATCACTCCCTCTTCATCTCCCTCCATCTCCACCCCCCTCTCTCCTATGCCAAAGCCTCGATATAGAGGTAGTGAGAGAACACTATTGCTGCTACATTCACTGGACGCTGAAAATGCAGACTTTCATCAAAAAAGTTGAGATTAAGAGTTGTGAATGATACCGTTGAGACACCCAGTTTATGGTGGCGATAAGTATCACCAGGTTCAGGCTTACTCTGCAAGTTTAAAGCAACTCTTACACTTTCCAGTTAAAGTTCCAGCACGTCTTTTTTAAACCTTTCAAGACGAATTATGGCCAACGTGGCCGCTTTACTACATTTCTCTACATCTCTAAAATGTCTGTTTAGTCGGTTCGAGGTTGGAGGCCAGATGCTTGGCTCTATCTTAACTCAGTTATTAATGTTAATTGTTGTTAGAGACGTGATCAAGACGCTCGGGTCTGAGTTGGCTTAAATGAAATGAGTGCCACTTGACACAGTGCCATTGGGACCCCACCCTTTCATCCTCATGACGAATCTTGCAATATCTTATTAACTGGACTCTGAATTATCATTGCAATTTGTTTCTGTTTTTGCATTGCTATAAGGCAATACAATAGACACTGTTCTCCCAAAAAATTCCAACAAATTCTAACTGGCATTCACTTCCTGTAATAGGTTGTAATGTATATTCATAATGTCATACTTTCCCTCGTCCCTCATACCAGTCTACCTATTACCTCCAAAGTGTCAGTCCTCTACACATCTTTTTTGCTATATCGTGAATGTGTTCACGCGGCCTGCACACTGGAGAGATAGAAACAGAGAGATAAACATACAGATAGTCACAGGCATACAGACCTAGACAGAGATAGCAAGTGATAAAGATAAACTGTTTAACACGGGTGGTATGTGAATAAAAGGACTCAGGTGGAAACTGAGTACCCAAATGAGCCACAGGGACGTAGAAAGTACTTTTTAAGTGTCAGAGTA